CAAGATTTTATCCACTGTGCGGACACATCCGAATAAAGCGTGTCCCGTGGACCTAGAACGATTTAACTTGGTGGACGAAATAAAGCGTTCAGTTCAGAATTTTAATCATCTGAACAAGGCCGAAGCGTACAACGTAGGAAACGTTATGAATATGACAATAAAGATGAGGAAAACAGACCGAACATTGTAAATAATGTAAACAATGACAATATATCAACTCAGAAATATAGGCAATTAATTGTGATCTTCGGAAATTTAAGTATAATGTCAATTGTAATCTTCTGTCTCCTTGGATCCTGTTATTTTATGATCCTATCTCCTGAATAATGACTTTTCAGATTCTATAAGCCTCAATAACATCTTATGTCTCAGTGGGTTTATCGCCTTGCTTGGGGTGAAATTAGATAAAATCAATAAATATATACATATCCCTTCAGATTTAATAATTCCCGTTCTCTCGATTTACCGCCCATTTTCTGTTCATCTATCTTGATTTAACATTTAACTATTTCAATATCGTGAACACGATCCCATCGAGAAATAAAAAAAAAGCACTAAAATTTGTATAGTTAATTAGAGTTTTTGACGTATCTATAGACCAAGTTTGGGAAAGGTTTGGCATAGAGCCTACGAAACTGTCATGAAAGGGCATAGGTAAAGAAAATATACATTTACTTACCTTCCTATAAGCCATTTTTCATGGGTATTTACTGGTCGATCGATAAAAATATAGGTTAATAAAATGATGCAGAGGCTGGTTGAAAGGAAGTGACAGAGATTAAGAATTGGTCGATTGGCTTCTACCAAATGATTATACTATCAAGGAACGGTTATAGGAGTGATCGATATGTTTTCTAATGCTTATCGACCATTTCTAGCTTATCTAAAGACAGAGAATATTTTTAGATTGTAAATTTTTTTTTAGATAATAATAATAATAAATGTCTTACTAATTAAGCTCTAGCTGAGGGGAAGGGAGGATTTATTCCTAATCAGAATTTGATAAACATACAAGATGCTGCATATATATGATGTGGATGAAGAAAAATATCCGGAAAAACAAACAAAAATCCTAATATGCAACATAATATGTAACATAATTAACATTAGACGATATTCATGTTGACTTGAATATCGTCTAATGGTAATTATGTTTAGAAATATTTCCTGAAGAAGGCCTACTAGAACCGAAACGTCTGACGTTGACATAAAATTAACATTAAAACAGCATAACTGCATATTAGGATTTTTGTTTGTTTTTACGTATATTTTTCTTCATACTGTCGGATCTATATCCATATATTTGCTTACATATGATGTGGATATAAAGTGGGAGATCAATTCTATGTGGCAGTCAATATAAAAACTGATCCTTCACTATTTGCTCATAGCAGTTTATATACATTTATATTCTAGAGAATGCAAATAAATCTAAAATACACGCCTGTGTAGATAATCAATCTTCGATTGGTTGATTGATCCGTTTTCTACGGGTTGTCAAACCTTTGCATGTTATTAAAATACAGAAATATATTATTATATCGTAAGAATTATTTTTCGATAATAATTCGGAGGTACAAGTTTTACTAATTAACCCGTAGCAGGGGGAGAATAGTTGAATCCATACCTTCCCAAGTCTATTTGCGTGTAAGTGAATATCAAACGGGAATTGGAACACGGTACTCGGATTAAGAATTCCATACCATTATCCATTACACCACTCGTAATAACAGCACTTGGTATTCTCACGCGGCCATCCATCTGCAGGATGCGATGGGTAAGTTGTCGCCATTTTATATTTGTTTAATTTCACGCATGCGCGTTGTTTGTTTTTGATTTGGTCGACTGCACCGTATAGTCGAGTCAGTTGGGCACAGTCTGTGCGAAAAGGTGTACCATGACACAATTCACTCCGTCAGAAATTTGGAAACGGCATGCTGTACTGCCTCACCGGAATACGAACGTTTCAGATTGTTTAGGTGTCAATCTGAGGACAGTGCAGAGGATTCGGAAATAGTTGGATGAGTCTAATGTTAATAACGAAAGTGTTTGTAGTGATCACTAGTGATGGTGAGGTTATGGCCACATTCTTCTTCCCACAGGGCCTCAGACTCAACAGGGAGACCTACATCAAATGCCTCGCGGAGGGAGTGCTACCCTGGGTCAAAAGGGCGGATACTGGAAGACCTTATGTTTAGCAACAGGACAAGCAAGTGAAACAAGTCATAGCTGTCAGACAATTTCTGTGACCACATCACCCCTTACATCTGGCCACATAAATCCCCAGACTGCACCCCCTTGATTATTATGTGTAGGGTACAGTTGAGCGAGAGACCAACAGAACTCTTTGTAACGCCAAAGGTGAACTGAAGGCAAGGGTTATAGTAGCAATCGTCAAATTAAACAAGGAGACCAACCAGAAGAGTTGCAGGAGATACCGAAGTTGAAGGCAATGACTATTTTATTGAATAAATTGACTCTTTAGTATTTAAAGATATTTTTTGTGCAATTTCAGTAAATATATCTATTAAAATTAGACGTCAATGTTATTTTCATTTTTGCGTCATTTATATGACAATTTATCCATCGCACCCTGTAAGCTAATAAATAAATAATGTTTAACATTTTTGTTATAAGTTCTCAAGAATAAAAAACATGTATAAATTCACTTCATCATATGTTTCTAACCATCTGGACACCTAACTCCCCAGAGGGCACCCAGCTTGATTATTATGTGTGGGCCGCAGTTGATCGAGAGACATTGTAACATCAAAGATGAACTGATTATGGCAGAATTCACTAACTTAAACAAGGAGACTGTCCAGAAGTGTTGCAGAGGATTCTTAAATCGTCTGGTAGCCCTGGTTGAAGCCAATGGCGATTTTATTGAATAAATTTACTGTTTAGTATTTAAAGATATTTTTGTGTCATTTTGGTAAATATATCTGTTAAAATGAGACGTCAGTGTTATTTCCATTCTTGCGTAATTTAGACGACAATTTATCCATCGCACCCTGCAGGTATTGACCAAGCTTGACGTTGCTTAATTTTGGTGTTTCAACGTGATTTAGCCGTAAGTAGGTCTATGGGAATAAACTCAATTACGTAAATGCGTACGTATATATTTTTTTTTCATATAATTGTTCACTTGATACAAAGCCCAAGAGCAACTCAAGTTAGAAGGTTACTGAAGAAAGATTTTGGCGTACAAGTAGAGAGTAAGAGTTGCGTATTCTGTCTGAGATAGATAGATAGATAGATAGATAGATAGATAGATAGATAGATAGATAGATAGATATGAATACATAAAAATATTCAGATAAATAGGTAAATTGCACTAGACTTACATGAACATGCAAACAGATAGATAGATAGATAGATAGATAATGAATAGGCAACGATTGATAGGTAAGGAATAACCAAAATAGATAGATAGATAGATAAGCAAAAATAGATAAATAAATAATGAATACGCAAAAAGTTCATAGATAGATAGATAGATAGACAGATAGATCAGAAATAACCAAAGATAGATAGATAGATAATGAAAAACAAAAAAATGAGGCTAGCTAGCTATCAAGCTAGCTAGCTACATAGATAGATAGATAGATAGATAGATAGATAGATAGATAGATAGATAGATAGATAGATATGCATTCATAAACATTTAGATAAATATATAAATTGCACTAGATTTACATAAACATTCAAATAGATAGATAGATAGATAGATAGATAGATAGATAGATAGATAATGAATAGACAACGATTGATAGGTAAGGAATAACCAAAATAGATAGATAGATAGATAGATAGATAAGCAAAAATAGATAAATAAATAATGAATACGCAAAAAATTCATAGATAGATAGATAGATAGATAGATAGAAAGAAAATGAACAAAATGGGCTAGCTAGCTTGATAGCTAGCTAGCTACATAGATAGATAGATAGATAGATAGATAGATAGATAGATAGATAGATATGCATTCATAAACATTTAGATAAATATATAAATTGCACTATACTTACATAAACATGCAAATAGATAGATAGATAGATAGATAGATAGATAGATAGATAGACCGATGTCACAACTGCTTTCAGACCAATGCATCAAAGTCGCACTCTCTCCGTTTCTGACTGAAAATCAAGCCAGTTATCTTTTCAAAATGAGAATGGTTTTCTTGTAGTTAATAAATACCACAACGCTTATGGTCTGTATTGACTACTCTTATTGTCCCCATCTAGGGAAATTTTGTCGACTACTTGTCAATGGCTGGGAGCAAGCAAGGAATGATGGAAATTCTGCAATCCTAGCATTGCAGATGCATACCACACGCGGCGAAGATGTTCACTGAAGAATTTTAGAATGAGAAACACTCTTTTTTACCTGGAATTCTATCGTTCTCGCTAATTACTGATCCGTCAGTCAAGGGTCCAAGGAAAAGTCGTAACGACAACTTGCTTCTTTCCCACTTTTTTGCCAAAAATTATGACCATCGACTGACCCTATCAAATATATTGCATTTCAAAAATAGTATATACTTTCAACAAAGTATATAGTAGTATACCCTCTAATCTTTAACTTACTCTCCTCCATATTACTCACACAAAGTTACATAGATAGATAGGGAGAGGGAGAGAGAGGAGGAGGAGAGAGAGGGGGGAAGAGAGATGAGAAAGTAGAGAAAGATTGATTTTAAAAATGCCATGATTCTTCGGGACGTAATCGATCATTCACACCGATTAATTTTTGTTTATTTTTGTGTGAATTCCTAGTATTCTTTGAAAAGTTTGTGACCCTTCTTGGTAGAACAATTCAGAGATTTTCACCGTTTTTCTCTGATTAACCTGCTATTTAAGACATAGCAGAGGGGTGATAGATTCATGCCTTTCCCATTGGTATTTGGGCGAAAGTGAACACAGCAGGCTAAGCTGTAATTTGAACTCGATACATCGACTGCAACGTTACTCGGATATACATCCTAGACAGATATATTAAATGTTTGAAAAAGTAGACATTGTTGGTAGATAAAGAAAGATAGATAGATAGATAGATAACGAATAGACAAAATAGATAAGTAAATAATGAATAGGCAAAAAATAGATAATGCATAAGCAACAATAGATAGATAGGTAAAGATCTATGAATGTGCAAATATAAAATGATGAATAAACAAAGATAGATAGATAGATAGATAGATAGATAGATAGATAGATAGATAGATAGATAGATAGATATGAACAGACTGAGATAGATAGATAGATAGATAGATAGATAGATAGATAGATGAACATACTGAGATAGATAGATAGATAGATAGATAGATATAGATAGATAACAGACTGAGATATAGATAGATGAATAGATAGAGATAGATAGAACAGACTGAGATAGATAGATAGATGAATAGATAGATAGATAGATAGATGAACAGACTGATAGATAGATGGATAGATAGATAGATAGATAGATGAATAGACAGACATAGATAGATAGATAGATGGATAGAGATAGATAGATAGATAGAACAGACTGAGATAGATAGATGGATAGATGAATGGATAGATAGATAGACTGGGATAGATGGATAGATAGATAGATGAATGGATGGATGGATAGATGAATGATATGTGAACAGACTGAGATAGATGGATATGGATGGATAGATAGATAGATGGATAGATGGATGTGAACAGACTGAGATGGATGGATAGATGGATGGATTGGATGGATGGATGTGGACAGACTGAGATAGATAGATGGATAGATAGATGGATAGATAATGATAGGCAACGACTGATAGATAAGGAATAACCATAGATAGATAGATAGATAGATGGATAGATAGATAGATAGATAGATATGAACAGACTGAGATAGATAGATAGATAGATAGATAGATAGATAGATAGATAGATAGATAGATAGATAGATCGCACAGAAATAAGTTTGTTAAAAACTTTGGCCAAGTGCATTAATGCCAACAGTACCATGAAGCTATTACAAGTAAAACCGTTATCGGTGCATCTCTTGCTGAGATCCAATCTCTTTGGCCACTTTAGCATTTTGTCTGAATGATACTTTGTTTGGACTGGGGCCAACTCGAGTTGATTGATTGCTTCGAAATTTAGTCACTCGTTTTAGACAGCCGGTGAATAATAACGACCCAGCGTGAAAGGACATATAGCAGTATCGTCGGAACATCGCGAGGAATGAAAAAAGTAATCATGTTCTTTGCATGATTGCCCGTTTATCTATACCACAAGGGCATCGCAGATAGAATGACGACAGTACTGAAGGATGCGCGATACGAGGTCGCAATCAAGTTTCCTATTCGTTAACATTTTTATGGAAAACATTCTTTTTCAGTTGGTTCATTATAGGAGAATCTGAGCAAAAATTAAGAATCCATTCAAAATCGCTGTTTCCGGAAGGAAAGCATTTCAAATTAGAATCTTCTTTTTGCATTTTTAATCTTCAAAATTAACCTTTTACAACGGCTCAACTGGCATGTATTAAAATATTTAAAATATCGAGATTTGAATTACCGTTTAAAAATTCAAGTAAATAAACGCATGAATTGATGTCATTGAATTTTTCAAATTACGTAATTATGGTTTTCTAAATGTCTTGTTAAGAAGCGTTTACGATATGATATGATATTATATATTAATATGTAATATATACGATAATAAATGTGTTACTATATTATCAAAATATAATATGTATGTTCATATAATCTAATTTAAAAATGGTATATACAGATGGATGCTGAAATATTATCGACTCAATTCACTTCCTATGTTTGAAGTATTGAAATATTGATTTTGAAAAGTGGATCAGACTGAAAACCTGACATAACTTTTTGTGAAAAAAAAAAAATATGTGTGTGTGTGTGTGTGTGTGTGTGTGTGTGTGTGTGTGTGTGTGTGCATATATATATATATATATATATATATATATATTTATATTTGGTTGGATAGATGTGAGTTTGTGACCCTGGGTCTCACGCTTTATCGATCGTCAGACAAACTGATTACTGATATTGAGCGCTTTCTAATAAGTACCGCGCATATAATATATAACTAAGTATACATATATATTTATTTATATTTATATACATGTGTGTGTGTGTGTGTGTGTGTGTGTGTGTGTGTGTGTGTGTGTGTGTGTATTCACCATCTATTGGGGGTTAAGTTGTCTGTTTGTATGTATATGTTTCTGTAAATTCAGTCTCAGATAAGATTGAAAGCACTTGGGAAAATAAAAACTATTTGAAAGAAAATTTTGGTAGTTTTCTTAATCAATTTTCTAAGGCTACCAAGCAATTAATCGGCGAACTTGAAAGGATCACAACGAAAATTAATCTAATTATTTAACCAAATCTGTTTGAATGAAAAATATGCTGCCTAAGTATACACAATATATATATATATATATATATATATATATATATATATATATATACTAGCAGCATGGTCCGGCGTTGCCTGTGCTTGATTCAAAAATCGTACGACTCATGCAGCAATCGCTATCACTTGACTTAAAATATTTTTGTCCTTCCTTGCCTTTAAAGGAGCGCCCTTTGCCGTGCTGATTTTGCTACCTGCCTTAATTCTTGCCTATCTCACACAGCGAATTTTTTCTAAGCTCTATACTAAACATTAAATCTGTTACGAAAAAACTAAACAAAATGAACCCAAAACGATCAGCTTTAAAAAAGGACTCGTAACTGGAAAAAGCGAATGAAAAAAGAATGATAACAACAAATACTTTTTCACACCCAACCCAGTTTTGCGGAATCAGGATCAACGTTGTGTTTAAGCAAGCGAATGAGCCAATTGGAGTAAAGTGCCATGCAGATTTAAATTTTTCCCACTTGTGACGAATACAGCTATCGATTTTTTTTTTTTTTTGCATGCTAGCATGTTAGTTAACATTCGTGTCAGTCAGCTGTTGGCTATCGCGCTGGCCAATAGAATCTTCCTGCCTATTCGTGGCAGCCAGCTATTGGCTCTCACTCTGGCCAGTAGAAAAGGGCTGCAAACTACATGAAAGCTGCCGTAGAAGCATGAAAAAATCGATTATTTCCAGTATCGATGGAAGTTGGGAAATGCAAAGTTGGTCTTGGCCTTCCCGCTACCTTGGAGCATGTGCATGTAAATTTTGGTGCAAATCCGTCGAAAATTGCGGCCGTGCATTCGTTACACACACATCCTGCCTTTTATAGATAGAGATATATACATACATACATGTTGTAACACCCTTTTTAACATGTACTTATACGAGTTAACTTGAATACAAAAAAAGGCCAGATTTTTAAGACAAGGATACATTTTCTCATTAGGTTTATGCCTTTACGGCTAGATGATCCTGTGGTGGGTTAACACCACAAAGCTTTGCTAGTTTCGCCAAGAAGTGGTTACGTGCAGCTTTCAAAGACCTATAAAAAGTGGGTCCTCCTGTCCTCATATTCTTCTCTCTCCTCTCCGCCCAGCATGCTGTAGCGACGACACCAACTGGGACCTCCCGTGTATGGCGATATATTTCCTCTTAGTCGTTGAGCTTTTCTCCCACACACAAGCACAAACATGCGCGCGCATATATCGGCCTCGCATTTGCTAACTTTTAATGTCTTCTTGTTTTGAATGAATAGTGCATTTTTCTCTCTTGTTTTATAAAATAAAAAATATATATAATATCGTATTGTTAAAATTTCCACCATTTTTTTTTTTTTTTTTGCGTGTGTATATATTGCTCGCCACAGCTTTTAGGCAAGTTAGGAGCAAATAAGCAACAACTTTAAGAGAAGACCTATCGGTTCGAAAGATTCATGAAAATGTCAGTATCTTTATAAAGAACCCCGTTTCTGCAACTTTATTCGTGGGGAGATTGCCCAGCATATTCTGCCATGTAAGCGAGTGGATAAAACATAGCAATCCAGCGCTCTTTTCTTTGCTTCTAATATAATTTTCCGTTTCTTGATACCCTGCTTAGCTTCGTGAGTTCAATGCACGTTCAGATCTCGGTGTCGCATTTTCCTCTGTTAAAAGGCTTCCCAGACGTTTAACCTTCTGCGCCTGATTGATGTTGGTATCGCCAATTCGTAGCTGGAATCTTAGGCTTTTTCTCTTGCTAATAACAATACTTTCTGGGTTTTTTTTTATTTGTTTTTTTTTGGGGGGTTTTTTTTGGTTTTTTTGCAATTGGTAGTTAACCCCTTTTTTCTCGCTTTCTTCAACCATCCTCTGCAGGATGTTTTGTAGTTTCCTTGTTGAGGAGGTCAACACACTGTCATCTCAGTTATGTGCCATGCTTGATATCTTTCGAGTAGATTGCCATTTCTTTCTACATCCAAGGCTATAAAACCCAGTCTGTCCTGCTATTTACCCATAGCTGAAAGGAGAAGAAGAGGATTCATACCTTTCCCAAGGGTATTATCATGTAAGTGAATGAAATGGATTCGACTGGAATTCGAACTCGCCTCTCCGATTCCTCAATCCAGCCGCTATAGTTGGTTATTATTACATTTATTTGGAACAATATAATATATAACCACATCTCACTCACTCTCTCTCTCTCTCTCTCTCTCTATATATATATATATATATATATATATATATATATATATATATACATATATATATATATATATATATATATATATATATATATATATATATATCGATCGAAATAAAAGTGTAAAATTTAATATTACCAGACATTAAAAAATAAAAATAAAACAAAACACAAGGGGAAGCAACCGGTTTCGCTCCCGCTCTTCAGGCTTCAACAGGAGATTTAAAATTAATGCAGAAAAATGTATAATAGAGGAATTGGGAGGGGAGAAAAAATTTACGTATTTATATATATATATATATATATATATATACACACAATATATATGCAGAAGGAACTAGAGACAGATGACAGCGAGTCCCAACAAGCTTGCAGGGACCCGATGCACTTTACATCAGGTCCCCAAGCCTTCTTTGTGCAAACACCGTGAGTGATTGTTGGGACTCGCTGTCATCTGTCTCTAGTTCCTTCTGCATATATATTGTATATATATATATATATATATATACGTAAAAATTTTCTGCCCCCCCCATTCCTCTATTTTGTGTTTTTTTTTTTTTAATATGTCTGGTAATATTAAATTTTACACTTTATTTTGATCATTAAATTTTGTACCTACAAAAATATCTTTAAATATATATATATATATATATATATATATATATATATATGCCGAGCAATTTATGTTTAGTCAGTTATGTCCCATGCGTGATACTCGCTTAGACAATCATGTATCTCTCGATAAATGACTGATGTGGCAATTTTTTTTCCCGCAGTTTCCTGTCATTTCTTTCTGCAGTAGACCAGTTGCCATCCAAGGCTACAGAACCCATTCGGTCCCGCTATTTACCCATAGCTGAGATAGGGGGGAGAAGAGGATTCATACCTTCCTTAAACGGCTCTCTATTACTCCACCGTTCCCCCCTTACGTAATTACATAATTAATATTGTTAAGATTACGTTCACCCATAACAAATCCTGGTAGGGTCGCCAGTTCCTTCAGCATAAGTAGGTTAATAAATCCGGGGAAAAGGTGCATCCTTGTCTCACGCCGCTTTCTAATTTTGTATTACTACTCAATCGATATTTTTATTCGGATGCAGTCGGTTTACTTTCCAAATAGATCGAGTTTTCCTACAAGTTCAAATAACTGGTGCCGTAACTTTTACTAAAACATATTTTGAATCAGTATCACCCGGGGAAATTTGGTTGATTTTGTATGTCGACCCCCATATTAGACTAATTAATATCGACTTATTTATTACTCAGTATTAATAATCAATCTGAACAGTTTTGCATCAACATCCAGACAATTCAATCAAGGGAATTCTTTTCAACGAACGCGTCAAATCCCAAGTAGTCTAAATCAATCTCCCTCGGAAGGAATTTGGTTCAT